AAAAAAAAAAAAAAAAATCCTGTTAAAAACTTACAATGTGGTGTGTTGTGAAGTATATGGGTAAATGAACACTGAACATTCTTACACACTACAAATGGAAGTGTGAACTGACAGAACCTTGTAGTTACAGGCTATTTTTTTTCTCAAGATTTTATTTATTTATTTGACAGAGAAAGAGACACAGAGAGAGAGGGAACACAAGCAGGGGGAGTGGGAAAGGGAGAAGCAGGCTTCCCGCTGAGCAGAGAGCCCGACGCAGGGCTGGATCCCAGGATCTTGGGATCATGACCTGAGCCGAAAACAGACGCCTAATGACTGAGCCACCCAGGTGCCCCAGTTACAGGCTATTTGGCACCTTCTATTTAAAGTAATCCCATGCCTAAGAATCTACAACACAGAAATACTAGAGCTGATACACAAAGATAATATCTAAAACAATATTCACAGCAGCTCTGTTTAGAATAACTAAAATCAAGCAATAAAAATGCAACACAAACTTCTATAAACAAAAAAATGATTTTTATAAATTATGAGTCCTCCTTACGATGAAGTATTATTGTAGTGGTTTAAAAAAAGGATGTAGGCCCATGTATACCAACATTTAAAAAATGTCTGCAAGAGAGGCATGCCTGTGAGACCTGGGTGGCTCAGTCATTTAAGCATCTGCCTTTAGCTCAGGTCATGATCCCAGGGTCCTGGGATTGAGCTCTGTGAGCCCCATGAGCACCGTGAGCCCCTGGAGTCCCGCCCCTGGAGTCCTGCTCAGTGGAGAGCCTGCTTCTCCCTCTCCCTCTATCCTTCTCCTCACCAGCTCATGCTCACTCTCTCCCACTCCCACGCTCTCTCTTTCAAATAAATAAATAAAATCCTTAAAATAAATAAATAAAAAGAGAGGGGTGCCTGGCTGGCTCAGTTGGTAGAGCAGACAACACTTAATCTTAGGGTCATGAATTTAAGCTGCATATTGTGTAGGGAGCCTACATAAAAAAAAAAAGGCTGTAGATAATAAATAAAGACAAGTATATTCATTCAACAAGTATTTACTGAGTACCCACAGGCACTGCTCTAGGTTTTGAGAATGGAGCACTGAGTAAAATGAAAAAAAAGTCCTGCCTTGTTGAGCTTATATTCTAGTGGAGAGAGCAGATAAGAACAAACACATAGTAAAGGCCACGGTCTATTAGCCTGTGAGGAGTGTCAGCGGACAAACAGTGCAGGGGAGGAAGAGGAGGAGAGAGGGAGGCAGTGCTGGGGAGGGAGAAGAGGAGAGGTGGAGGGCGGGCCATTAGGCCACTTAGACAAGGGTGGTCCCGGAGAACTTCACTGAGGAGGCCCCTCTGGGCAGAGACAAGGAGGGTAGTGTGGGCATGGGCCCAGAAGATGGGCCACGGCACTGACATAGAGGTTGGCAGACTGAGGACGACAAGAGGACAGAATGGCTGGACTTTGGCTCAGAAGTCCCTGAAGAGCTCTGCACAAATCCTATCTTAGATTTTATAAAGTGTGATTACTCCAAAAAAAAGAAAGAAACCTCTAAGTGGGGAATGTGCCTATGAAGATCATTAAAGTTCTGCAGAAAAATGACATGCCAACCCAAAGGAGGGGACGGGGAGCGGAAAGGACTCTTCAACATGCCCGTGGCCCTCTTGTATTAGGCAAGCTTTTGGATCAGCAAAGCAAAAAGTCACCTGTCACATACTAAATACTATTTCATTCTTTCAGATGCTTTATGAAAGGTAATTGTAACTCATGTTGTTCTAATTTGTACTTACCCAACCAAAACATTTTTTGGTTTTCTATAATCTATGCCTCTGAAAATGAAGTATTATATTCACAAAATCATTTTTATTTGACTTCTGAGAGTGAGATTTAGGACAGTTTTTACAATCAAACGTAACTTTAGAAATTGTAAATGACAGGGGTGCCTGGCTGGCTCAGTCCATAGAGCACACAACTCTTAATCTCGGGGTCCTGAGTTTGAGCCTCACGTTGGGTGTAGGGATTACTAAAAAAAAAAAAAAAAGTTGGTTAGAAAGGTATAAGCAGAGCCACAACATACAGTCTTGCTATTTGGCTGCATCCATAACAAGACTGGTTGTCAGGGTGCCTGGGTGGTTCAGTCAGTTAAGCCCCTGCCTTTGGCTCAGGTTGTGATCTCAGGGTCCTGCGATCGAGCCCCGCGTCCAGCTCCCTGCTCAGCAGGGAGTCTGCTTCTCTTTCTCCCTTTTCCTCTGCCTGTCCCCCCATTTGTGCTCTCTCTCTCTCTGAAATAAATAAAATCTTAAAAAAAAAACAGAGCCCCACATCAGGCTTCCTCCTCAGCAGTGAGTCTGCTTCTCTCTCTCTCCCTCTGCTCATTCTCTCAAATAAATAAATAAAATCTTGGGGCACCTGGGTGGCTCAGTCATTAAGCGTCTGCCTTCGGCTCAGGTCATGATCCCAGGGTCCT